CCCATGGACAGAGGAGCCAGGCAGGATACAGTCCATGGGGTTGCAAGAGTTGGACATGACTGAGCACACACACATATATTTTAAGTATTGCATGAGATATACTTACATAATAAAATCATTCACTGTCTAAAAGTAAAATAAATAAATAAATAAACAAATAAACAAACACTGCATATTCCTTCACCACAATCCAGTTTCAGTAGGTTGACTTAACTGCAAGAGGAGGAGGGGACTCAAGTCTGGTTAGATAACAGGACCACAAAGACCAGTCCAACCACAACAGTGATTATGAATAGGGTGAGACCAGCACAAGCAATAATCTAGATGAAATGGACATTCCTATAGACACACAAACTACAAGAGTAACTGAAGAAGAAGCAGAAAATCTGAACAGACCTATAACTAGTAAGGAGACTGAATAAGAAATCAAAACATCCCCAAATGCAAAGCCCAGATTAGAATTCTACCAACCATTTAAGGAAGAATTAACATGAATTTTTGTAAACTCTTACAAATATAGAAGAGGAAAAAACACAATCAAAATAATTCCATGAGACCACCATTACCCAGAAAACAAAGCCAGATAAAGACATCACAAGAAAATAAAACTATAGATCAGTATCTCTTATAAACATAAATGCAAAAATCTTTAACAAAATATTAAGAACAAATTTACTCAAGGAGGTTCAAAACTTGTATACAGAAAACTACAAATGATTGTTTAAAGAAACTGAAAACACTCAATAAGAGGAAAGAAATCCAGTGTTTATGGATGGGAAGATAATGTTTGAAGATTGCAATATTCCCCAAAGTGATCTGCAAACTCAATGCAATACTAATAATGCTATGACAGCATTTAATTAGTTTTTGCAGAAATGGAAAATTTCATCCCCAAATTTGTATGGTATTGAAGAAACACAAATACTTAAACAATCTTGAAAATGAAAAACAAAGTTGGAGTATTCATCTTCCTGATATCAAAACTGACCACTAACATACAGTATTCAAAACAGTATTATACTGGCATAAGGAGAGACATATAGACCACCACAATAGAATTGAGAGTCCAGGAATAAACACATACACCTATGGTTAATTGATTTTCAACAATGGGTGCCAAAACCATTCAACAGGAGACAGAAGAGTCTCTTCCATAATATCTGGCTATATACCCAGAAAAAAAGGCTGTTGGACCCCTACCTCACACAATACACAGAAATGAGTTCAAAATGCATCAAAATGTATATTTAAAAGCTAAAACTAGAAGAGAAGAAGACATAGGGGTAAATCTGCATGATCTTTGATTTGGAAATGGATTATTAGATGTGATAAAAATGCACAAGCAACAAAAGAAACAATAAATAAAATGGACTCTATCAAAATTTAAAGCATATTTAAGCATATGTCCATCAAAGTGAAAAGCCTATGAAGAAAGTGGAAAGATGATCTACAGAGTGGGAGATCATATTTGCAATTCACATATATCACGTGGTCTACTAGTAGAATATATGGAATATATTATATATATTAAGAAGTCTTATATATAAAGAACTCTTACAGCTCAACAGCTAAACACCAAATAACTAAATTTAAAAATAGGCAGATGATGGAGGGTTCCTGTCCATCTAGTGGTTAGAACTTGTGCTTTCACTGTGGTGACCTGGGTTCAATCCCTGGTCAGGGAATTAAGATCCTGCATGCTGTATGCCATGGCCAAAAGAAAAAAAAATAGGCAAAAGGACTTGAATAGAAAGACATATTTCCAAGAAAGTTACAAAATGCTCAACAATGACATAAAAAATATTAAACATCCTTAGGTACTAGAGAAATGGAGGTTAAACCATGGTGCAATCTCTCCTGACAGCTACTAGAATGGCTAAAATGAAAGAAAAAAAATGGAAGCAACAGGTGTCACTGACAATTAGGAGATTGGAATCATTGTACATTGCTGTTGACAAAGGAAAATGGAAAAATAGCCACTTGGGAAAATAGGTAGTTTCTCAAAAAGTTAAAAATAGAACTATCACATAACTCAGCAATACCACATGAGCTTTGTGACCCAAATGATTGAAAATATATATTCAAGCCAATACCTACACAACAATATACACAGTAGCAACAGGTGTCACTGACAATTAGGAGATTGGAACAATTGTACATTGCTGTTGACAATGGAAAATGGAAAAATAGCCACTTGGGAAAATAGGTAGTTTCTCAAAAAGTTAAAAATAGAACTATCACATAACTCAGCAATACCACATGAGCTTTGTGACCCAAATGATTGAAAATATATATTCAAGCCAATACCTACACAACAATATACACAGTAGCACTGTTCACAACAGTCAAAAGGTAGAAACAACCCAAATGTTTATAGGAAATATAATATATTCATTTCTATTTATAGGAACTATCCAGGATGGAAATCCATAGGGGCAGAAAACCAATAACTGATTGCCAGGGCTGAAGGAAAGGAGACATTTGTGGCTGTTTAGTGGACAGACAATACCTTTGGGGTTATGAAGATATTTTAGAAATAGAGGTGAAGGTTACACACCTCTGTGAATACACTACTACATGCCTCTAAATTGTACATGCTGGTTAAAATGGTGAATTTATATTAAGTGCATTTCAACTTAATAAAACAAATCAGACTTAAATAGCAAAAATATTAGATTTATACACTTCCAAATTTAATACCTTGTTTTTTTAGAAAAGAAAGTGAAAGTGTTAGTGACTCAGTTGTCTGACTGTTTGCGATCCCATGGACTATAGCCCACCAGACTTTTCTGTCCTTGGAATTCTGCAGGCAGGAATACTGGGAGGGGATTATCACTTCCTTCTTCAGGGGATATTACTGAACCAGGGATCGAACCCAGGTATCCTGCATTGCAGGCAGATTCTTTACCAACTGAGCCACCAGGTGGGCTTGTTTTGAAGTCATTTATATTTTATTGTAAATTCTTCAGTATAATTATTTCCTTTGCTGATACTTCATTTTACAATGAAAATTTAGTTTTTCATTTCTTTTCAACCTTTTTCTTTTCTCTCTGTTTTTCACCGAAGTACAATTGAAGTAGAATATTATAATAGTTTCAGGTGTACAATACAATGATTTGATATTATCATACATTACAAAATGATCACCACATTAACTCTAGTTACCATTCATTTCCATATATTATTGACTACATTCCCTATGCTGAACATTGTGGGTGGTGGTTTAGTCACTACGTCGTGTCTGACTTTTGCGACCCCCTGGACTGTAGCCCTCTAGGCTCCTCTGACCATGGAATTTCCCATGCAAGAATACTGGAGCGGGTTGCCATTTCCTTGTCCGGATTCTGTACCTTCAGTTCAGTTCAGTCGCTCAGTCGTGTCCGACTCCTTGCGACCCCATGAATCGCAGCATGCCAGGCCTCCTTGTCCATCACCACCTCCCGGAGATAACTCAAACTCATACCCACTGAGTCGGTGATGCCATTCAGCCATCTCATCCTCTGTCATCCCCTTCTCCTCCTGCCCCCGATCCCTCCCAGCATCAGAGTCTTTTCCAATAAGTCAACTCTTCGCATGAGGTGGCCAAAGTACTGGAGTTTCAGCTTCAGCATCAGTCCTTCCAATGAATACCCAGGACTGATCTCCTTTAGGATGGACTGGTTGGATCTCCTTGCAGTTCAAGGGACTCTCAAGAGTCTTCTCCAACACCACAGTTCAAAAGCATCAATTCTT